GCTTGCCCCTTTATCAAATAACCCCTCTGATTTCAATTCTTGTGGTTCCCCGACCCCAGGCTCTTCTTTGACCACGACTGAACACTGGTACTACTACCCCCTCCTCAATGCTTACTATCACATCAGTCCAGTCCAAATCATCTATCCAGGTCAATGCTTAATCTACAGGAAATATTCCCAACATCCTCTACTTCATCTCCTTCACCCCTACAATTTTCTTCATCAACTCCTCCATCCTCCCTTATTATTACTCTGCAGCGTTATTGTCCACCTCTCGGCAATACTAGCTCTCTTAATGCTACTCCCTCTTCCTCATGTTCCTGTCCTTCTACTACCCCCACCTCTGCAAACCTCTTGAATACTCTGTTTAGCCCAGCCAAATGAGATAAATTTTTGTCCCCTTTCATATTTATATTAGCAGAGAATCCCTCCCTGTCCAACCACATCAACCTCCATCCCAATCAATGTCACAACTGTTGGCATATAGGCCTAATACTGCTTGACTTCCCCTATGTGCCCAACCTGATCATAATTAATCAAACTGCTCTGCACAGTCAGGCATGTGTGCCAATTGTGGTGGTTCCCATTATGTATTTTATAGGGGCTACCCTACCTACAAGTTTAAGTCTGAAGTCGCAACTCTCAGATTCAAACTTAGCTACACTTTACATGAAGCCAGACAGGAGGCATGTTGATAAGGTTTTCCTCTGCTCTACCCCTCCCCTTTCCTCCCAAGATGTTTCTAGATCTCTCCCAGTATCTTTTCCTCATCCCACTTCTACCCCCCCTCATCATCATCATCAGGGAGCTAATGCCAACAGGGGTGCATAGCCACATCCACCCTTAATTTCCATCTATGAGGATCCCTCATGGCAAGCCGCCAGGCAGGGACTCGGCTCATCTCGAGCTCCTCACAACAGGTTTGATCGATCTGCCCAAACCACAGCTTCCTTGGTCATCCCATTGGCCTCCTCCACCCAGGGTTGCTAAATGCTCAATCCCATCTTCTACTCTATCCTCTCCTTCATCAACCTCTACCTCCAACCCATAAACATCTGTCCCCTCTCATTCCTCTCATAAGAAAACCTTTGTTTCTTAGACCTCCCCAACCAACACCATTTTAGAAACTTTCGAAGACATTCAAAATGTCATCATGACCCAAGATAACAGGACTACACCTCATCCATCCTCCAATATCTCTACTCCCATTCCTTCTTCACTGGAAATAACTGCTAACATCCATCCTCCTCCTACTCATGCTCCCCCTATACCCCTTCCTTCCACTCCCTCACAACACATCCCATTCCTTCCTACTTCAGCTGCATCATCCCCCCCTTCCTTCCTCATTATCCAATCCACTTCCCCCTGGATGTGACCCTTTGTCACAACAACCCCCTTCCTCAGATTCTTTCCCTCATGACATTTTTCTTGAAACTGTGATCTAATCGCGCTTTCTCCTTTACTAATCCCAACCTTACGGACATCCTTGCAAAATCTCACACTCTTCCTTTGACAACCTGATCTTAACTTTGTTTACTATTACACCTTTCAAAAGTGCTATATGACCTTTTGATGTCTGGCACATTTTTACTTTGTAGTCATTAAGCATAAACTATCTTCTTGTTTTAGATTGCTGCTTTTAACTTTTAAACTCACACTAAAATTAAGAAAACAAAAAGTGGATATGTTCATGCAGCAAAGGGTAGAAGATCCCGTTGAAAAAAATTGTCATGCTATTTCATAAATTCTCAGCAAAATCACATAACAAATTGAATACAGAGAAATTTATTTTAAGAAATTTGTAAATACATATCTGATGGAATGATAAAAAGGAAAATCATTCACACTAGATAAAATCAAGGGAATCTTTGGACATACTAAACCATGTAAAGCAGCTGGTGTTGATGGAATGATGGAATGTTAATATCTGTTCAGAATTGACAGAAATGGAGTCTGTAATTTCCTTTCAACACCCAGTCCTTCAAAATACTCCAATAAAATATGTGGCTGGGTTATCACAGAAAAAAATCAGTAAAAAAATGCTGCATGGGCTTATTTTAAGTGGAGTAGGGGATGAAAAAGCTATTCAAATATCACAGAATTTTACTTAATAAAAGGTAAAATAAATTTCATTACATTTATTGCACTATATGGCTAAAATAAGCACTTGACTATTCAAATCAAAAATAATATCAAAATCTCATACCAAAGTCTTACTGACATTTACATATTCAGCATTCACAATTCTCCAAAGAAAGAACAAAGGGGTATTTCAGTCAACAACAGAAGACTCACTGCTTACAACCAGACATATCAGATTTACAGCATTTAAGACAACATCATTCATTTACATTGAACATTCTCCTTTGTTAAAAGCAGGTTTTGTTTCTTTTTTTATGTAATTTTTGTAATTCACTTTAGAGAATGGTATGTCTAGAGAAAGATTTTGAAAAAGATATGATGAATAGATAAATGGAAAGAAAGAGAGAGAGAGAGAGAG